GAAGGACATAGTTGTAATTCTCTGGCGATCTATTACATGTTCATACAAAACGGGAAATTTGTCAGATTTCCAAAGACAAGGTATAATTACATGTATACCAAAGACTCTCGCAACAGACACTACTTGAAAAATTGGCGACCAATTAGTCTTTTAAACGTAGACTATAAAGTTTGTTTTGGGGTTTTTCACATTTTTTTTTTGTTTTGTTTTTTTTAAATTTATTTTATTTATATTTTTAAAATTAGACCATAAAGTTGCATCCGCTGCAATTGCTTCACGACTTAAAGAAGTCCTTCCTGATATAATAAGTGAAACGCAAACAGGTTTTTTTAAAAATAGATTTGTAGGGGAAAATACTAGAATACTGTATGATCTAATGCATTATTGTGAAGAACATAAAGTACCAGGTCTTTTGGTTGCAATTGATTTTGGGAAAGCATTCGATACATTAATTTGAGGGGGACTCATTGACAAAACGTTGGAAGCCTTAACTTTGGCCCTGTACTTAGAAATTGGGTTAAACTTTTTCAAAGGAATAGCTGAAGCTCTATTATCAATTCTGGTACATTATCAGACTTTTTCACTTTAGGGCGTGGTTGTCGTCAAGGTGACCCGGTCGCCCCGTACATCTTTGTTGCTTGTGTCGAATTACTAGCTATTGCAATTAGAACAAATAAGAACATAAAAGGAGTTAAGATAAAGGGTATGGAATACCTCATTTTTCATTACACAGATGATATCAATTTTACACTTGAAGGATCTGAAAAGGGATATATGAACTTATATATGTTATTAAAAAATTTGCTACCGTGTCTGGTTTAAACCTCAACTGTGATAAAAACCATAGCAATATGGTTTGGTTCCAAGCGAAATTCTAATGAGCAACTCTGTCCGCATATACCTCTTAGTTGGTCGAAAGAACCATTCAAAATTCTGGGCATTACCTTTTTAACTAACTTACATGAAATGATTTCACTAAACTTTGAACAACAATCTTCAAAAATCAGAAAAAATACTATTTTCATGGTCAAACAGATCTTTAACTTTGAGAGGCAGAATTATGATTATCAAATCGCAGATTATCCCCCTTTTTACACACCTTTTCATGGCGCTTCCTAACCCATCTAAGCGCTTCTTTAAACGTTTGAATACGATCCTTTTCAGGTTTATCTGGGGCAGCAAACGTGATAAAATTAAAAGAAATATGTTAATAAATGACTATGAAAAGGGTGTGTGTATGTGTGAAAATGATAGATATCATATCTTTTGCAACTATATGAAGATTAAATGGATCAGCAGACTATTCAAAGCAAAGGGATTATGGCAGCACTTCAAACACTATCGCCTTTTGGGGACATTGATCTCTTTAACCTTCAAAGAGAAAAACTTTTTATCCTACTCCAAAAATAGTAAAAACCTGTTTGGGAAAGATGTTGTAGTATGCTACACTTGTATCAATAAAACACATACTGAATGCATTATGTCTACCAATTTTGAATTTTGTACCATATACTGATATAAGTCTGTTCGTTTCGTGGTATAAAAAAGGAATGAAAAATATGCGAGATATTATAACAGACGCTGGTGAAGTGAAGTCTTTTCTAATACTAAAAGAAGAATTTAATCTTCATGAAACATATCTCCTATATTTCAGATTTTTGAAGTACATACCTAAACAATACCTTAATCTTGCAAAGGCAACGCCTCATTATGATGAATTAGCCAATACTGACTTTACTATTCTTAAACAAATATGTAACTCAACTGACTGTAAATTTGTCTATTCACAATTATGTGATAATCACACAATATCATTGGATAATCTTCAACTCAAGTGGGAAACTAAGCTTCATACTGTTTTATCCGATACTTATCTTGCTGACTGTTTTACAATAATTAACGCTGTTACCATAGAAAATGAAGCTAGGAATTTTCAATCTAAAATATGCACAGAATAGTCTCAACGAAGTCATTTCTTTGTAAAATAGGTATTAATCAGGACGACATTTGTACTTTATGTGGCAGAGAAATAGAAACACTCGAGCACTTATTCTTTTTATGTGAGAAAACAAAACATCTAATCTCTCAGTTTGCAAACTGGTACAATTTGAAGACTAGCACTCGCCTCAATATTGATAGCGCAAAGCTTTTACTGGGGGACCCTGAGGCAAGTGTATTAGTGAACCACATTTTTATCATTATCAAGCAATATATCAATAAAACAAGATATACCTCAGCGGAATTAAATTTCGATCAACCTTTTTTATTTTATAAAACACCACTACCATTTGGAAAAATATATCTTTGGTGAAGATCACTCAGATTTCAAAAGAAAATGGTTATCTCTCTTTCAAAATGATTAAACCAACAAATTGACATAGCGAGTTTTTCTAGGCCGCACTCTGCACTCTTTCATCTTTTCTTATCTCTCTTTCCTTTATCTCCTTTCTTTCCCATCTTTATAAAAAAAATTCATATATATGTTGTCTATGTAACGCGTGATAAAAAAGAAAAGAAAACAGCAGAATACAGGCTTCAAAAAATGTTCAATCTGAAAAATGTATACGGTAACTCGTGAAATGTGTTTTCTGTAACATTTGACTGACTCAAAAAAAAACAAAGAAAGAAACCTAATACATCCAAATGAATAAACGTTGATCAAATTGGATGTTTGATGCCACAGTTTGCAGATAATAACAACACATGTACTTTATGTCACACACACACACATGTCTCTACAGCTGTGTTCTGTGCTGTTTTCCAATGTTGGCACGATTTCGGGACTATTCTGGATAGTTTCCGCAAAAGATGAAGACACAAATAGAATAGAATTTTTAATGATCTTGAACAAGATTACGTTTTGATAATGAAAAGAATGTGTAATAGAAAATAATTATCTTGAGAAAATAACAAGTACACATACTGCAGATTCAAAAACACACACCTCTTGGAAGAGGTATAATTCAAGTAAAACATCATAATCAGTATTGTTATCTAAAATTAACTCCACCTTCTCGTCATTGCCCAATCCCCTAATGCAGATGAAATATTTATTCATTTATAATAATAATGTAGTTTTGTTTCCCGCTAGATTTCATACATACGTGTATGCACAAAGCTGCACATAGTTCAAAGGTCATAGTGTTCACAGAATAGGAAGGTCTTTAGTCGGGATCTGAAAGAGTCAAATGAAGGAGAGAGTTTTATGTTTAGAGGCAGACTGTTCCAGAGTTTTGGGGTGTATAGACAGAATGACTTATCATTAAAGCTTGTGAAGTTGTATTGAGGAATTGACAGAGGGTGCAGGCTATCTGAGCACAGTGAACGTTGAGACTGGTGGTGATTGAGTAGACAGGATAGATATGCTAGAGCCAATCCATAGTAGCACTAGTACTGGACCCGGTTGTATCAACACGTAATTATGTAATCATCAATTAAACACTAATCATTGATTAAATACTTAATGTTTGATTAGTTAATGAAGTGTTTAAATACGGTTGTATAAACCCTTATTTAAACACCCATTAACTAAGTATGCCTCTAATAAAGGTCCCGTCATTAAACCATGATTAACTTAGGGGAATCCCTAATTATTATCCATGATGCATTGCATGTAAACACTCATCGATCGTCTGCATCATGGCTGCCGTCAGAAATCGCAGCAAAAACTTTGAAAGTTGTGAAATACAACTTCTAACAGATCTAGTTGAAGATCATATCGGTGTGCTAAACAGCAAACTTACCAACTCCATAACTAATGACAAAAAGAAGCAGATATGGGACAAAATAACGGCCGAGATCAATAGCCTTGGGGTAAGCAATAGGACGTCCAAAGAAATCAAGACAAAATGGAATAATATGTTTCAAAATGCAAAAAAAGAGTTTTCAGGTAGAAAACTTCAAACGAAAAAAACAGGTGGCGGTCCATGTCCCAAGCCTGTTTCCTCTTCCATCGAGAAAATCATGGATATTTATTCGGGATTCCGCATGTTTCAACGGTGTGGCCGGAGTGGAATCTCCTGTTCCCTTGCAAGGTAAATAGTTCTACAAACTGATAATAAAGATCATTAATTTTAAGTTTGATTGATGTTAGTATAGATTATATATGTCGATGCAAGTATTAAAACAAAATAGCAAGTAGACGAAGACATAGGCTAGCTGGCGACTTCAAAACATAATGTCGAAATTGCGGACAGTTTCATTTCATATTCTTACCTTCTGTGCAATGCAGTTGAACTTTATTCAATCACATTTCACCCGCTGTACATAACGTGCGTCCTCTTTCAACGAATATCCAAATCAATGTGAAGGCCGTTCACTCTTTTCTCACAAGAGTGAAGTCCCCCCTGTTACTATTTTTGTACATGGAACCCATCCCGTTACACTTTGCATACGCTTCCTATTATGTTTCTCACAATGCAAATATTTAAGAAGCGACAATATTAAAAAGGTTGTGCAAAAATGTAGCAAAGTTAGTAACAGACAGAAGCATTTGACGCTGCTGTTATTATTAATTATGCTTTAAAATTTAGAATATTTCAGGGAATTATCATCGAAAACTCGTAATGTAATTACATCAAATAAAAAGCGCTTGAGGAAATACAGGCCTGTGTCAACAGTATTAGTAATGTGATGTAATTTCCAGAGACTTATACGGTATGTTAATTTCGTGTAGCATAAATATTTTCCATGAATTTAATTTTCGTTGGGTCCTAATTAAAGTGAGCACAGTAATCATCTCAGCTACACCCACATAATTTCGACAGAATTTTCCGATTCCACCAGAATTAATTAAATAAAAATTGTGTTTTCTACACTAAATTCACATGTAAGTCTATTGAAATTAAGTTAAGTGGCAAATATTTTTGGCTCGGGTCCGTATTTGCATTTGTCATTTTTATTTTATTTTCAATGACTTTGTGGAAGGGTGGCATATTTTATATCTAATTTTTAAAAAACACAGTTTGATAAAAATCCTATCTATTTTCAGAAGCTCAAAGTGTAGAGATCCATGCCATGTTGATACAGCTAATGACGAGTTAATGATACCCCCAAACCTTCATTAGCTTAATGATGGATTAATGAAGGGATTCCTTTATAAAGGGTTTCATGCAACTGAAGATAATCAATGATTAACTAATCATAGTTTAATTAACGATTAAAGCTTTATTAAAGTTTGATACAACCGGGTCATGGCGTAGGTACGGATAAAAATATGCACGTTATGGTAGGAAATAATTTACAAAACGTCGGAGATACGCAGCAAATCAATGGTTTACGGTCTTAGAAGCATTTACAGACATATATATCTAAAACATATCAGTCTGATCTGATATGTCCATCTTTGAACTTACGTGATTGCGACACATTAGGGTTTCCCTCCTCTTTTTCAAATCTCAGTTGCTAAGGAAACCGCGAATTATCTCGGTTAGATTTGATTGGTCAAAATTGTGCACGTTTATATAAACATGGCGGCACAGAAACAAATTACAAGTTTCTTTCAGAAACAAGACTCTGCCTCGACGACTTGTAAACAGCCAGCAAGTAATCAAATTGCTGTACGAATAATAAACGAACTACTACCATCACTCGTTAGGCTTGTCGTACTCACTCTCCATTAAATTCCATTCAGTTCTCTTAAGTTTTGCCAGTATCCTATATTGAAGACATAAGGAGTACATACTCCTGACGTTGAAAAAGTATCTGGAGCCCTGGAATATATACCATTGCACCATATACAGGACCACTGAATACATATCACTACACCATATATTGGACAACGAAGTACGCAGCACTACACAGTATATAGACTACATACCACTACACCACACATAGGACCGTTGAATACATACCACTACACTATATATTGGACAACAGAATACATACCACTACACAATATATACTTATTCATACCACGACACCATATAATGGATCGTTGACCGTTTTACCTTGTGAAGCTTCAGCTTTTGGTATGGCCGAAATGTAATTGCCAGTGTGTTTAAAATAATAAAAAATTATGATTCTCATTTTGAGTAAATGAGTGACTAGGATGGAGGAAATACCTTCGGACTGTTAAGTAAATTTATGTCATAAATGGTTTTACCTCCGTTAGGGAACTGATGGACGCCAACAATGGACGCCGTAAACTTTCACTTTTCCTTCAAATAATACTTGTAAACAAATATACCTGTTGAAACATCAAGATATATACTAAGCAGCAAAAGAAACATCAGTTTAGAATTTTCCTTCGCATAAACGGATAACTGTAAACTCATTTAATGTTTTGATTGTATATTTTTGACAACATTTCGAACTTTATCTGAGCAAAGACATTCTTTCCCAAACTCAGAAATGAACCCAGAAATGGAATCAAAAACGCAACCTGAACTCGGAGATGGTACGGTGTTCTCCATGTTTTTCAGACAATTCATGCTGCATGTGCTGTTCACAAGGACCAGCCCTATAAAAGGCACCCCCAAACCTGGTCGTAACATTCACATTACAACGTCAGCAATATGCCGCGACTCACGACAGCTCAGAGGAACTAGGCGCTAGGAAGACTTCCAGGTCAACGTTCGGAACATTTATAGGCTGCAGGAACGTTTCCGGGCCACCATGATCACAAATGATCGCCCCGTACTTGCAGACCAAGAGTGACCACAAGACGACAAGACCGCCATGTTGTGCGACAGCATGTACAGAATCCCCCATGCAGGCATCCGAAACAGCACGCCAGACAGTTGGAACACACGGGAGACCAATCGGTACTGATACAGTACGCCAACGTCTTAACAGTGGGAACCTCCATTGCCGTATACCTTACCGTGGACCTATCCTAACCCCTCGTCATCGGCATGAACGTCTACAGTTTGCCCTACAACACCAAAAACTGGCGATACAGGCAATGGAGAACTGTTCTGCAGATGGCAGAACAAGAATATGGCCAGCGTTACTCAGTGTTATGGAAAGAGACTCATGGGGAGGTGCAAGCATCATGGTATGGGATGGAATAGACCTGAACCAGAGAGTTGGGTCTGTGGTGTTCCACAACCTTGGTCCAGGGAGAGGAGGCGGCACCACAGCGGTGCGCTACATCGACCAAGCTCTCAGACTCCACGTCATACCACATTTCGCACGTCACCGGAACAACATTTCCAGCATGATAACGCCCGGGCCCATACCGCCAGAGCTACACGGGACTTCTTACAGCACAACGGTGTCAACATTATGCAGTGGCCAGCTCTTAGTCTTGATTTACACCCAATTGAGCGTCTTTGGGGTGAAATTCAGAAGAAACTGGATAATGTAATACCAAGGCCGAACACAGCCGATTTATTGCGTCGGGCCTTTCTCAGAGTGTGGTTCCAGGTGCCATTGGCCATCGATTGGTGCACTCCATGCATAGACGCTGTGTTGCAGTTATTGCCGCTCGTGGTGGTCACACTAGATACTGAAGTCAAGGGTCTGGGTGGACTGCAAACGTTCACGTAATGTCTTAAAATTGTGCTGAGTTATTCATTGATGTGTCAAGATATTGTACACAAAAATGCTTTTGATCCGCTTATTATGTCAATTTCTGTAATGATTTGATTACAGTGCCTATCTAATTCGTACTGACGTTTTGTTTTTGTTGTTTGTTTTTTGCTGCTGAGTATATGTCAGATTTCCGAGGCAACTCTGGCTTCAAGAACGGAAACAGGCCTTGTTAACATGGAGTTCTTAACATTATTTCAGGGGCCTGTTACTTTGGGCTGTTGTAACTAATTGGTGACATCGTATTGCCTCATTGGCGCTACAAACAGTTGGTAGCGTTGGTGTACGTAATTACAGACGATATATAGAGAATACTCCACAAGGTCTCATTACATACGAATTATACGAAACGAGTGTCCTTCCTATGGTATCTGACCGAGCAAAAGCGAGGTCAGAAACCATAGGAAGGTCACGAGTTTCGTATAATTCGTATGTAATGAGACCAAGTGTGGTATTTTATTTATTACCCACGTCTTACATGCTTTAAATTGACAAAATAGCGTATTTTGGTTATTGTTATGGTTTCAAACCGAAACCGGTTTCATAAAGAGGTTGCGGAAGAATTTTGTTCTGAAGTACACTTTTGCATGACGTCACACTGTATTGACGTCACTAGGCCATTCTCGTCTGTCCCCTTGGTAACCGACGTCACGATGCATGTCAGTTTTCATCGCCTCTCGTACAGCCTCCTACAGTAAACTACTCCGTAGTACCCCGTTTCTTGGTTTGCAACTGCTTCACTCGGCTAACATCACTGGTGGAAACATTGCGTTTATGTTTTTCGACGGATATAATGTCTCAGTTCGACTCACAATTAAACAGCGACACGGCAACGTTCGCAATGTTTACATTCCCACAATGCATCTAAGTTGTAGAATGAATGAATTCACGTGTTTGTTATGAATGAACAAGTAGTTCCGTCACAGGTGACCTAACTGAGAGGTCATAGGTTATCCAATCAAATCGTTAGAATCTCAGGTCAGGTCGTTACGACACAGGTCAACGCGATACGACACTCGTGTGACGTACGAGATTAGTATGCAACTACCAATACGTTGACCACGTGGGTAATAAAAACTGCAACTACACCGATCTTGTCTTTATGCAGTTGTAAACTAAAAGAGAGTTTGATTATGGCACAGAATTATCTCGCAAATATGAAATCGCCTACAAAGAAATTGTGACAGCATTAAGAATAATAACATATTGGAAAGGAATGGCTTTTGAGAGAGAAATGGAATGGGTTGTTCTCTATTCGCCTACATCCCAATTCGCCTACTGTCTTAAAACAACATTTCATGGTCTGTTGACTGTTGATTACGCAATGATAAACTAGTGTCACCCCTACGATCTAAACGTGGACTCTTTTTGTTGAAGTAGTTGATGGACAAAAAGACTTTATTTAATTCACTAACTTGTCATTTTCTTATCACAGTGAAATAATAATGGATCATATATCACATCATACCATAACATCATATCATTTTCTGATCACAATGAAATTATCATTTATTTATCATATATCACATCAGTATTAAGAAAGTTGTGGGGATGTCCATTCTCTGTCTGGAAGTAGGGAAAAGACAACTGGATACATCTGGTCATAAACTTGAGTATTTTATAGTGAGAAATTAACTATATCTCATCATTGTTTTTACAATTCAGTTAATGAATGAATGAATGAATGAATGAATGAAGTCATCTGGTCATAAACATGAGTATTTTATAGTGAGAAATTAACTATATCTCATCATTGTTTTTACAATTCAGTTAATGAATTATTTCCTTTTATTGAATTATAACCCAGTTGTTACTTCTTAGTGGATGCACTATCTCTACTCAACTACATATCCTTAAAACAACAGTCGATCAAGATTAGTATGGCCCTGACCGGTCATGTCCCATTAGTCATACGCCTATTAGTCCTACTCCTACAGGCATATACCCTTTGCGCAAAATGGACTAGCCCGCTAATTAGAGAGCTTGAGGTTAGCTTAATCTCTATCACTAACACTGAGAATGCCAAAGTCTTTGGTAATGAAAACATATAAACGAATTTTATTAAAGTAAATTACATTGAAGTCATATGAATTTAATACACGACAACCGTTGGTTGATAATCAAAACATTTATACCAATGTTCAACTCTACTGAGTTTGATTGAGTTTACTCAATCTCGTAAGAAACATAAACTAGTGCAAAAACTTTCCATGTTATAGACTCTAGGATATCTTCAATTATTATTCCGTAAGAGGCCACAGGCCTATAGTACATAAAACAAACAAACATTTATATTCGCCCTAGTAGTAACTTTTATATTTTTTCAAATAATATTATTTTTCTTTCTTTAATGTTGCATGGAATATAAACATTGATAAATTCCGAAGTATAAAAATCTTTGTACTTGTTAGTAGGGCTCTGACGGGTAGCAAAAATCGGACTCGAGTACCCGGGGATAAAACCCGACCCGGACTCGAGTACCCGAAACTTATAGTATAAATTTTAGTGACAGCTATGTGCTTGTTTTAGGCAGTTTTCAATGGAATTTCACGCAAGAATGCAGCGTCTGTATTAAATTGAAAACTTACACGAAATCTTTCCTTAAAACACGTGGTTATCAATTTGACGAAATACAAACCTAAACTCAATGCAGGGCCACATTAC